ACGAAATCACATCTCCAGGCCTTCATGTGAACCTGTTTACTCAACACTCTAGACCCAGCCATAGCTGTTAGAACCCTCTTTTTAAATTCAGCAAGTTCAACTGTGTTTGCAGCACCAATTATTTCAGCCACATCACAATTGAGACTTAATTTAATTTCTAAAGAATACCTCCAGTAGATCATTGTTTCAGGTCATTGTCTCAAAGTTGGTAATGTTCCTGAGGTGAACTTGAACATGGTTCCATTTCTAGACTGAGTTGTAGCAATCTGCTTCAAATGCTCCTGAATAAAGCACCGGACTGATAAACAGAGTTACAAGAAGCAAAAAGCTCCCTAAGTACTCGTTAGAAACAAGGCACAGTGGTAGTGACCACAGCAACTGAGAAAAATAAAGAGTTTGTAAAACAGTGAAGCAATTTTGGAATCAGATTTGGGTTCCAATTCCCATTTGATAGCCTGCTAAATAGTGACCATGGGCAAGATCCTCAACATCTCTGTGCCCTGGTTTCCTCATCAGTACACTGGGGCTAACAACAGTATTGATGTCAGGAAGTTGTTGAGAAGATGGTTAAGGTAAATCTGTACACACATTTAGTGCTGAGTCTGCACTCAAAAAATGTTGGCTCTGGTTATTAAATTGATTCTCATCCTCAAAGATCTTATATACACTTATCAATGAAAATATTCAGAAGGAAAGAATGGTACTAAATGATACATATTAAGTGAGCAGTACTGGTCACGAAAGATGCAAAACTTTAGGAATGCAAGGCACCCCTTCATCTAGGGATGGTAGAAGGTCTCCTGGGAGTGGTAAAACCAAAGCAGATGGGGCCGTGCAGGACTACAGGCCCCCTGCAGCGGGCACTTACTGTTTGCCAAACACAGTGGGGCACCTTGTATGTAATTGCCACAAGCTACAAGGTAGATACCTTTAAATCCCCAATTTATAGATGAGAAGCTGTTTTACGGATAATGGCTGAAGCTCACACAGGTTTAGTCATTTCCCCAAGTCACCCAACCGGTGGCAGATCGAAGTTTAAAATCACCCCGTCTGACAACCCATCACTGTGCCATCGTTGGGAAGAAGGGTTGACAGGAAGATAAATCATTCCATTGTGAGGCAGGAAGGGACAAAGTAATCTTATTAAATGGCAAGTGGGAAGCAAACAATATGTAATTTAAAAAGAGAAAATAAGGGTAGACAGGTGGGTTAGAGCCACAGGGAATGGAAAGCTACGGAGTTTGAGCTTCAGCCTGTGGACAATGAAGAATCTGTTTTGTTTGTGGTTTAAGTGTGTGCTTTTGATCAAATACTACCACCACCACCACTACCAAGAGCATTTATGGAATACCAACTAAGGGCCGGGTCCCAGGCTAAACCATTTGCATACATTACTTCCAAAAGTTACAATTTGCAATTGAGGTATTATTACCTCCATTTCACAAATAAACAAAGCCCTGAGTGGTCAAGCCCCTCACTGGGATGACTCCAGCATGGTGGGGTTCATAAGTGAGTGTGAGCAAAGTCAAAGTCAATACACTTCCCTCTAAAAGAGTACTGCAGAAAAACCTCCCTTGCAAAAGAGAGTGGGGGAAAAAAAGAAAAAGAAAAACAGAGGGAACTAGTCTGAAACAATATACCAATCCAGAGTAAGGAGACAAATGTCTTAAATGGAGTCACTGAAAATGGAAGGGAGGTGACAGAGAGCAAATGTGTTCATGACCTTTTCTTTCATTTACTCCATTTCTGTGTCATGATCTGCTCCCTGAAGTAGAAACCAAGTTAGTAATTATTCCAGTTTCTATTACCAGCCTTGCCTGTAAGCCTGATTTGAGCCCTGTTGTTAGCCTGAGAGCGAACACTGCATTTAGTATTTACCTGTCCTGTCACAGTGTTATCAGGGCTAAAATATGGCATCATCCTCTAATCTGTTATCTGTATTGAAGGGTAATCATTCAAAAGAATAAAACTAAGCCTCCACATCCAATAAATCACATTATGCTTCACATATCAACACTTTAAAAAACCTGATCTAAACACATAGTCTGTCAAAACAGAAGGACACATACGCTTAAGCTCTAATGAGCTCTGCCAAATCCTACATTATTATTAAAGTTCATCGTGAGCTCAGAGGTCACACATTTTTATAAAATGGAATGTGGTATCAATATTTGTTGGGCTGCTTTCTAGTTAATATTCTAGAGAAAGTTGCATAATAAAGCAGTAGGAAATACATGCATTATGAATATATCTTTCAAGCTAAGGCAAAAGCTAAATAGACAATTACTTAACATTATGTCATTTTTCGGAATTAAGAGTTAGGAGCTTGGACATTCATGTAATTTTTCCAAAAACCCAAAACACTTTTGCACTAAAACCTTAGCTATAGTGCTCCTCATTCAATAGCTAACTGCAATATGTTCAGTGGGAAATCAGTAGTAGAACAGGAACACGCAGAGTTGAAATTCATAAAGATAAAAGAGTATAATTTTCCTGTCCAAATCCACAAGTTAATACATGAATATTCCCAACAATTTACAATATTAATTTGAAATATCAAATGTGTTTCTGAGAATAAAATTATGAAAGAAATGGCACCTTGGAGTCTCACTTACTAAGGATAAAAACAAACATGGTTTGTGTACTGCATTCACCAAAAAAAAGATGTATATATAGACACATGTATATACATATATATGTCTATATATATATGTCTAATATCACACATATATATGTCTATACATCATATATACATATTTATGATAAAGCAAAGTAACAGCATAAACAGTCTAATTTTACAGCTCTTAATTACATAATGATCTGTGGTTTGTGGTTTTTAATCTGTTGGACTTAATTTTATTTCTATGTGCAAACACATACGTGGATATTAAAGAATTCTGCTCACCTGTGCATATTCAGACCCAAATATCATGAAACATTTAGCAGTAAAATCCAGTCTCTGAAGGCAGGCTTACCACTACGCCACTATTCAGTGTAAAGATACAACTGCCTTCATAATAGACAGAAGCTAAATCGTTTTTTTTTTTTTCTTTGCATCACTTGAGGCTTCCTGCAAACCCAGTCATATAAACAACTTCCTTCACCTTTTCTTCAAATCTGAGTGTTTAATTAAGCCATATATCATCGCAACCCCTCTAGTCCAGCTGTCTGTCAGAACAGAGGTTTACTGCAACTCCACCCTTTTCCCACCTTCAGCTTCAACAGTGCATTTCATTTTTTTTTCCTATCAGAGAAAAAAATTAAGATGAAGAGTTCCAATCCTCAAAGTAGTTCAGTGAACTGTCACAATAATATCATTTAACCCCAGGGAATTTTCTGTTTAATTGCCACTCTCTCCCTTCCCCCAAAGGGCTACATCTTCTTTCAATGGTGTAATGGAAAGCACCGCATTAAGAAAGACAGAGAGAAAACATAATCGGTTTAAATTTTTAAACATCTAACCTTTTCACCAGTCACTTTTAATCATTTGCACCTGTGACTTTAATAATCAGCCTGGCAATCAGAGGACAGATCTAGGAGAGATGCCCCAATCACAACCATTATTGTATTAAGGAGCAAAGAAGAAAGCGATTTTCTCACATGTGACACGAAGAAAGTTTTACATGTCAGTAACACCCAATCTTGGGAAGAATAGAGCTCCAGGTACTTAAAATCTTCATTTTCTAAAAGTCAAAAGATTTTCTTAAAATATATACCTTACTGTATTTGTAAATATTAAGTTTTTACATTTTGTAACAATTTTTCAACTTTAGGGCTCAGAAAAAGAAAAAAGCTCTAGAATAAGCAGAACATTGGGGGAGGCAGTGAGATGTTTGAACCATTCTCCCCAAGGAGAAATCAAAACCATTACATTATACCACATAACCATTTATTTCTCTCTGCAAGGCAAACTTAGAGCACAGTGGTAATATTCTGAAAATGTGACAGAAGTTCTACATCAGTGAACACACAAGTTTGGAAGGGACAAATATGGTCGCTGTCAGTTGTAGTCTGCCCTCAGCAAGTCAATAGCCCTGTGGGTGAGGCTCCCATATGGAAATCTTCCTTGACTGCCCAAGGCTGCATGGGATTCCCTGTGAACAGCATCTGGACCACACCTTGTTGGGTCACACAAGCAGCTGACAAGAGCTGGAGGAAAATGCGTCTGGTCCAGAGATGAGAGGACAGGGCCAAGAATCAAAATATGCCCCTCTAAAATTTGATGGGGAGGGCCCCTTAAAAAGGCTATTTATCCAGTCATGTTTTTCTAATCAGTCTTGGCCATTCACCGGCAGATGTTGGTCATTCTGGGGACTAACTGGTAGGATTTTGTGGTCCTGCAGCTGCCAGCCTTTCATAACCTCAGTGATGTTGTGGAAGCATCCATTTAGTGTATAAATATGCTTTTTTTTTTTTTTTGCATTAAAACACTACCAAGTGAAATATTAGAGAACAAACTCCCCACCCAGTGCAGAAATTTTCCAGTTTCAAAGCATCTGGGGTGAAGATTCCAAATTACCTGTAGCAAAAATTTCTTCTAGATTTTTTAAAAGCCTCTTGCTTGTTGAGGAACCTACTGAGGAGCCTGCCAAAGATGACACCCACAGTTCAGATTACTGGTCCTACATTTACCTAGTTAGGGCAGGAGGAAGTGTTTGATGGTTACCCAGGATCCTTCCACTTGTAGCAGGAATGAACACCAAAAAAAAAAAACAAAAAACAAAAAACAAAAAACAAAAAAACAACCATCAGGACACTCAACTCCTTAGAGATTTAAAAGACTTCCAGAGGAATAAAGAGGAAAGAAATCTCTCCCTCCCCACCTTCACCCCCCACCCTGTGTGTGCCCTAGCCATGTAATTCCATGCAGTTCCAGAGAGAATCCTTTCCTCCTCAGGGCTCCTAGATCTGACCCCAGCAAAGCCAGGTTGGTCATCCTTCTCCCCACGCTTCCAATCTCCATACCAACCCCTCCCCACCACCTCGGGCCACCTCCTTACCTGATAATGTCGTCGTTGTGTCCCAAGAAGAATTTTTGGCTGTGCTCTCGGGTGTTGTAAACCACCCCGACCCCAGCCACAAAGTAGACCACCTCCTTGCCGGCCGTGTAGTACAGGTTGTTGCGGCACTGGTGACCCCGGTACCCGTACACCCACTCCAGCCGGAGCTGGCAGCTGGGAGCTGTCCGATCCGCCATGATAAGCCGACCCCACTCGTCCCCCGGCTCCCCCGCGCGCGGGTCCGCGGCCCCTGCGCTCCGGGTCTGTCCTCGCCAAGACTCGGGCAGCGGAGGACCTGCAAGGGCTCAGTGTGCAGCGCTGGGCGCTGATTTCCGCGACGACGCACAGACACAGCCCAGTGCGCCGGCCGCCACCATCATCCGCCGCCGCCGCCGGAGATGAGCCGCCAGTGCGCGGCCGCCAGACCCCGCCGGGCGCCCCGGCTCCCTCTCCCCGGGCAAGGCGTCTTCGCGGGCGCCAACACCCGCACGCACACGCCTCACTGCACCTGCGGGCTTCGTCCCCCAGGAGAGGTTCTTGGGGGGGTCACCCCGCCTTTTAAATCAGGGATCTGCATATCCAAACACTGATTACCCAGTTCGCTCACTGAAGTTTGCAGTGCGTGGGGGCTTCGCAGCAGGCAACGGGATTTATTCTGTGACAGCTTTGATTTGACAGAGAACCCGGGTAAGCTTTGCCATCACCATCCTTGGATCCGAAACTGACAGTCTATACCCAGGATGCAGGAGAAAGGAAGAAAGAAACAGATTTTTTGTATAAGTCACCAGTCCAAGAAAATGATCCCCAGACTAAACCAAGGTTTTTGGTTTTTTGTTTTTTTAATTGTCAACTATTCTCCTTCTCCCTCCAGATCCATTTCCTTAATGATATGAAATATGCCCAAAATGCTTCTCGTTGCTGATATGATTGAAGAGAATACTTGCTGTTTCCCCATTAAATCAGGGTGAATATGCAACGGTCATTTTTTTTAGATGCTTCAATTAGTTGTCATGTAAGTATTTTAAAATCACATCCTCCGTGAAACCTCTCTTGACCGAAAAAAATCATGAAGAACTTAGCAGTTCTCACTAATCAGCAACTCCAAGTGCAAGCGTCATGAAAGATTTTTCTGAATTGGAGGAAACGAGACACTAGTGCAGTTGGAGGCAGGAAAGCGCTACCTACTAACGCTCCTGGTCCCGAAGAAATTAAATAATTAACAAGTGGCAAAAATCGAGTGCCCCGCTTCACGAAGGTCTGAACTAGCTACGGGGACCCGTGGGCTCAAAGGTCAGCCTCTAGCCAGGCGGGGGGTGGGGGCCGGGACGCACTCCGCGCCCCCCACCCCTCAACAACGTGCGCCCACACTACCCTAGCTTCGGCTGCCGCAGGTCCGAGGGAATGCCAGCCCCCAGGGACAGCCCGACCCGCGCGCACTGCCTCGCTGTCAACGAACTGCACTCCTCCCACACCGGATCCAGCCTAGTCTGCAGAGCATCCCCGCTCTCTCCGCCTCTAACCTCTGCTCGGAGCGGGCGCCGCCAGCACGTCCCGGATCTCGCACGGGCGAGCGAAATCCTCTGCCTGCCCTCCCTTCCCCACCTCCCGCACCCGAGGATGGGCTTCGTCACTGGGGCGCAGCGGGAGATGGGTTCTTCCTCCAGCGGGCGCTCCGGGGGCGGGGCCACAGCGCAGCTTTCGGGAACCGCGGCGGCCGGTTACTAGGCGAGATCACGGCGCTTGGAAACCGCGACGCCCCAGAGCCTGGGGCCGCCCCTCTCTCTCCCCGCCCAGGTTTCTCCCTTCCTCGATGCATTCTGGGAATCGTAGTCCTTTCAATGCCGACTCGGTTAGGGAGCCCTCGGAGCTGGACCACAAGTCCCAGGATTCCGCACGCCCAGAGGGGGCCGTGCAGAGGCCATTACCGGCGTCGGTGGTGCCTCCTGTTCTCCCGCAGAGCAGAGGAAGGCGCATCAAGGGCGAACGCTTGTCAACCGCCCTGCGATCCCTAAGTGACTGAGGCGGTGGCGTGCGTGCGTGTGTATCTATGGAGAAGAGCAGTGGAGTTGGAGTAGAGATAATCTCTATGGCCCACCTCGAGAATTTCTTCTGCACCAGTGCCTGAGGGTTACTCTAGCTAGCCGACTGGAGCCCAAGTTTGTTTCCTACTTCAGTTTTCTTTTTTGTTCAGATGGGTTCTAATCTGTTAAAGTGCGGTGCTGCCACATTTAAGAAAAATGCTGGGGGATGTGGGCTCACTCTGCCTTAACCAGAGCCTTCCGTGAGCTACCTCCTAAATTACGACGGGATTGGGGAATTGAAGGGCAACCAGATTTTGAAAATGGGAAGGTGAGAACCAGCCTTGGCCTTCAAACACGGATGTCTGTGAATGCCACTGCCCAAAGTGAACTATGAATTCCGGAGTAGCCCATTTTCTTATTGGGACCACAGCAGACCTGTGGAAAGAGATTTCAAAATTCCAGTGACTAAAGACTCAAAGGATGATGGAAGGGATATTGGCAGCATATCGTTTATTTTCCTCTCTGAGCTCTCCTGCAACCACTTAACTAGTTCTTCAACTACCTCAAGTTTTTTTGTTTTTTTTTTTAACGTTTATTTATTTTTTGAGACAGAGAGAGACAGAGCATGAATGGGGGAGGGTCAGAGAGAGGGAGACACAGAATCTGGAACAGGCTCCAGGCTCTGAGCTGTCAGCACAGAGCCCGTCGCAGGGCTCGAACTCACGGACCGTGAGATCATGACCTGAGCCGAAGTAGGCTGCTTAACCGACTGAGCCACCCAGGCGCCCCCAACTACCTCAAGTTTTAATACAGCCGTCTGAGCGGTAGGAAAGCCTCCAGAAGATTAGAAGTGCCAGAGTTTGGAAGAGCAGTTGCTGCCTGCAACAATGAAGATGGGAATTGGTTTCAATGTTATTTTTAAGGGAACAGGAATCTACAAATATGTGAGGTGGCATTGTGCAGATAAGGGCACCACCAAGAACAAAAACAAAATTCCTGAAGAAGATTTGAGACATAAGCAAAAATATAAATGACCAGTAATGCCTTACTATAGATTCTATACACGAATTCAAAAGATGAAGAGCTTTTCCAGTTATAATAAGTCAGGAAAGACTTCATGGAGGAAATAGGAAGTACGGGTAGAATTGAGATCTATCAAGATAAACAACACTCTACATGGGTCTATGGAATAAAAAGATAGATGTAGGAAAACATAGATTTAGAAACAGTGAATAGAATCCGTGTGAGAGAATTCACGTAAGATGAAAAGGGGACATAAACCTGAAAGGTTAGATTGTGGATGGAGCTGAACGTAGAGGTTTCCACTATATCCTTAAAATAATGGAGAGCCGTTGATTTGTTGATTTTTTTTTTCCTTGACAAGGAGAAAAACAATAAAAACAGTAGTCTTCAATAGGAATAAAAAGTTTCATCAGGACCTGCCCATTATCAGGGGACTGCAGAGCCAGGGGAATAAGCCAAAATATACGGAACTAAGATGCATAATTGGCTGCATGGAAAGGGCTGTGGAACAGGATGTTTCATAGGCTCTCAAGAAAGAGCAAAGGCCCATCCCCTAGCAGAGGCTATACTGAATCCCAATAGATCTCACCTTTGTCCCTACTCCATCCTTTTCCAATATTAGACTATAGAAAAGTAGACAAAACAATGCCCAGCCACCAAACTATGACTCTAAGAAGATCAACTTATTCCTAGATAAAGTAGGAAGTATGTCAAAAATTCATGCACAGCGTATCAGAATAAATGATTCTGGAAAGAGCTGTCCCATCAAACAAGCAACAAAACAGGGCATAACCAATCCAAACCAAGATCCTGAAGGTTACATTATGTAGAACCCCATCTGGAAGAAAATTTATGTCAAAAAAGCAGATTGTCTACCAAAGAAGAACTTAGTTATAGTATGAACTCAAAATATCAAGAGCTTGAGGTGCCTGGGTGGCTCAGTCCATTAAGCATCCAACTCTTGATTTCAGATCAGGTCATGATTTCCTGGTTACTGAGATATTCCTGAGTTGGGCTCCATGCTAACAGCACAGAGACTGTTTGGGATTTCTCTTGCCCTCTTTCACTGCCCCTCCCACTCATGTGCTCTCTCTCTCTCTCTCAAGGTAAATAAATAAACTTTAATTTATTTTAAATAATAAAGGTAACACAATAACAAAATACCAAGAGCTTAAAGATGGATACTAAAAATAAAAGCCAAGCTAAAAAAATAAATATAAACGCAGTTTCAGATCTAGTGAATAGCTTTGAAACAACAGAACAACAAAAAAAAGGAAATCAAAGTACCAGCATGGAAAAAACACTGGAAATTATCACAAGAAACGCAGAGAGAAAAAGATTCAAGAGATATGAGGGGCACCTGGGTGGGTCAGTCGGTTAAATGTCTGACTCCTGATTTCAGCTCAGGCCATGGTATGGTTTGTGGGTTCAAGCCCCACATCAGGCTCTGTGCTGACAGTGTGGAGCCTGGTTGGGATTCACTGTCTCCCTCTCTATCTCTACCCCTCCCCTACTCGCTATTGTCTCTCTTTCTCTCAAAAATAAATTAACATTAAAAAATAAAATAGATGATGCTTAAGAAAGCAAAGCTAATCCAGCATATAGATCATTGGTATTCCTAAATTAGAAAAGTCAACAAATGGAACAGAAAAAGTATTCAGAAATAAAGTAATATATTAACTGAATCTGCACATTAAAGGCATACAGTATATACTAGGAAAAAAAAGATGATAAAGTCTCCATGGAGGCAAAATTATTTAACTTCAAGAATGATACTTCAAAATCATTCATGAACTTTAGAGAGAACTATTGCACCATCTCTGCCAATTAGTAATTAAAGGGAAATGTTTAAGCATTTATTGTGTGTTTTGGGGGGGAACTTTATCCAGTTGACAAAGGAAAGCTATTTACCTAAGGATACCAGCTAATAAATGTAAGAAAAATGGTAGATTTAGAAAATTATTCAATGATGTAATTGATGCAGACAAAGGTCGTAAATGTATACCAAAATGATTAGATGAAAGAGTAATGCTAAAGAATCACTCTCACAGATTATGTACATTTAAATGGAAAGATCTGGAGGTCAAAATCTCAAACAATTTATAGTATCAGTGGGGTGCCTGGCTGGCTCAGTCAGTGGAGCATACAACTCTTAATCTCAGGGTTGTGG